ATTCACATATATTTTATATATAATACAATATACAATGTATGATATAGCTTGGCAACATGAACGAAAAAACTTGGTTGATAAATTTGATTGGCTTAATCCCAAATTTTAATGGATTAGAAATTGAATCACAATGATATGCATTAGCAGCTTGGAAAATTGATTTGAGAACTAGTTTGTTCATCAACAAAAACCATATCATAATTGATCTAATTTCTTCAAATATCTTGAATTACCAATTATTAATCTCGCATCATGATGGAATAATAATGGTTGATCAAAGACAATAAAATAAAACCAGACTCTCAGATTATGTTATTTTCAAAGAGATAATCAAATCATCAAACTTTAATCAGATACTGAAAAAAGTTAAACAGAGATTAGAGGAAGCTGATGAAAATCAAGAATAGAAATTATTTGGAGTAGTAGAAACAAATGGTGGAAATTTTGGTGATAAAAAAAAAATATTTGTTGGTGAATTTGTGTAACAAGAATAATTTTTAACAAAGAAATTACTTTTCTCTGCAAAAGTTATTTTTTCCTATTACTACCATTACTACCTTGTTATAACAATACACATAATTTTGATAATTCGACGACAATTTAGTACATTCAGATCTCGTTTCAATGAATCTATATGCATTTAAAATTCGTTATACCAAGATTACTAACCGCGTTTCAACAAATTTATGTAATGTGATAATTCGTTGAGAGGTTTGACTGATTGTTGTGTAACAAATCTAGATTTAAAAAAGATAAAATTTTCTTTTCTGAAAAAAATCCAAAATGGATGAAAAAAAGGGTTATTTAAATGATTTCGTTATTCTGGAAGGTGGTGATAGTGAAGATGAAGAAGATAGTAATAATAATATGACAGCTATAAGTGATATATTTGGTCCATATACATCAATTATTAAAAAAGTATGTAATAAATGCGAACGTATACTAAAATATTATGATAGTTTTCAAGATAAAAGTATAAAATTTTGTGGGATTTTGGTAGACTGTGTTGACTTTATGCATTTTAATATAAATCATTTGACAAGAAGCAAGGAAGAAAATTTAGAGAAGTTTAAGCAAGCAACATTCTATCAATCATTTAATAGATTTGAGATTGTGTTAAATAGTATTGAAAAATTCATTTATAGAATTTCAGATTATGGGATTGTTAGGAATTTTTATGATCTTGAACAATTACAGGCAATGAATTATTGTAAAATTAAATCATCAGTGATTGTTCCTTGCTACGGTATCCCAAATAATGGAAATTATGCAATGGTTCTTGATTATCATCCAGAAGGAAATTTAAGGGATTATTTACAAAAAAATCATTATAATTTAACACTAAAAGATAGAATTACAATCTTTAGATATTTATGTAATGCATTATATCGTATACATGAAAAAGATTTAATTCATTGTGATTTGCATAGTGGTAATATATTAATATCTGGAGGTAATTGTTATATTACAGATTTAGGATTATGTGGACCAGTTGATGAAAAATCATCAAATAAAATCTATGGAATTATATCATATGTTGCACCTGAGCTACTTAGAGGCAAAATTAATACAAAGAACACAAAAGAAACAGATATTTATAGTGTTGGGATGTTAATGTGGGAAATATTTGCAGGCCATCCACCATTTGATGATAGAGGTCATAATCATCGTTTAATTTTTGATATATGTGAAGGTTTACGACCACCAATATTACCTGGGATGCCTGATGACTATGTACAAATGATGCAGAAATGTTGGGATGTGGATCCATCTAAAAGACCAACTAGTAGAGAACTTTGGGAATTTGCTTGCAATAAACGTAATGAAGTTTTTAAAAATATTAATGATGACAATAACAGTGTTGGTAATAGTAGTAATAATAATACTACTAGTGGTAGTAGTAGTAATTCACAACAAATACATAAATCACATCCAGATGCATATCATAAAAGTAGAATATTAGATGATGAAATTACAAAGTCAAAAAGTTTAAAAAGTAACAACAGTTCATTAAATAATCTTGATATTAATGATATTCTCTTAAACATTGATTTTAACGATGGTAAATAATTAAAAATTTCATTAATAAATTAATTTAAATTATTAATTGTTAAATTATTATTACTAACAATCTTTTTTATTCTTGTTTAATGAATTAATAAATATTAGATTCTAGTAATAATGATAATAATAATAATAAGGGAAAAGATGTTGAAACATCAATGAATGATTAATTTAATCTTCACTACAAATTTATTTATGTAAATTATATATTACTTTCTTAAAACTTTATAATTAATAAAAATTTTTTTTACAATTTTTAATTCTTGTTCCAGAGCAGAGAAATACGAGATTTTTCTTCACATTTAAACCAATCTATTTATAAATAAAACTTATTAAATATAAAGATTGAAAATTATTTTCACTCAAAACCAAAATTAAGAAATAAAATAATATAAAAAAATGTATGAAGAGTATAAAAAAAAAAATAGTTAAATCATCATTGACATTTCTTCAAAAGACTTTTATAGTAAAGTCAAACCATTTAAAAAAATCTTTAACGAGGATTTATTTGATGAAATTCTTCAATATCACTTGAGTGATGGGTGGAAATCAAAATTATTAATCAAGGAGAAAAGAAGAGAAGGAAAATTATTGAATTCAAAAATTGAATGTTTTATTTCAAGCTGGATTGATGGTCAAAGTAATAATGTTTATGCTAAAAATAGTCTACTACCATATGAATTCAAGTTACTTCTCAATGGAAATCGTGATGGTTTTTCAAGATCGACGTTCCAAAAAAGATGTTATAATATTGAACACACTGTGATTTTAATGAAAATTGACAATTCACATGAATTAGTCGGTGGTTATAATCCCGTCTGTTGGAATTCAAATGAAAGACAATCAGAAGAAGAAAGTTATTTTATCAAAACTGACAAAAGCTTTATTTTTAAATTTGATGAAAATCCATTGGAAGATCCAATAATAAGCAGAGTTACCTTGCCTCTTTGTGCAATATATAATAGAAGCAGATGTAGCATAAATGTATATAACATAAAAATGATTGAAGAGCCACTGAGTTTTGTGGATTTACGTCTATATAATAGCACCAAGAACAATCCTTATTGTTTTTATCAAAAATTTGAACATTCTTCATATGGTGATAATTTGAATCTTCACAACATAATTCATTTATTAGAAGAATATGAAGTCTATAAAATATCGAAAAAATAGATAAATCCATTCATCTATTTATTCATCTATTTATTTGATTATTTAATGAGACTTTTTTTTCTTGAATATTATACAATAAAAAATTATTAGTTATCTAGTTACATATACAAATTTTTGAAAATTGGCCTTTTTTTTCAATAATGAAATCGCAAGAACATTACCAAAGAGTATTTATTTATTAGAATTCTTTAATATAAATATAAATATATTCTAATACAAATCAGGCATTCTTAAGATTTCTTTTCCTTTATTTTTCACATGCATCCTCAATTTTTTAAATACCTCGCTATTGATCCATCGTTCAGGTACAGGCTTCTGATCAATTGCAAAATAGTAAATATCCCAATCCGGTATGTTCAATAGTTCATCATACTCATTCAATTCTTGTTCTGTACATTCATTTAAATACTTTTTTGCAAATGTTGATAATAATAAATCTGTTTCTAATATTCCTCTTTTACGAGATTGATAGATTAATCTTGCTCTTTTTTTATCAATATGTTCGTTATGCGGTGTTGTTGGATGTAAGCTTTCGTAGGGAACGTTTGGATGTAATGAAGAAGGATCGTATTGTATTTTTATAGTAGAAGAGGTAGCAGTTGTAGGATTGTTCTTGTTGTTGTTGTTGTTATTGCTATTTATTGATGATGAATTTTTTATAAAAATGGAATAACAATTTGAATAGTTTTTAATTTTTGTTGGTGGTGCATTAATAATTATTCTATTAACCCTTTGAATGTTTCTTAAAGTTGTGGAAATCATATTTTCAAAAGAAATTTTTACCAATTATATGTGGCGTAATCGGATTAGATTTTCCTATATTAATATGGGGCGTACCAAAAATTTTAGGATTGACGCATTAATAATAATAAGGTTTTTGCATGTCACTAGATACATTTTTAGTGACCATTAAAGGTGGGGAAGAATGTAAACTAGTTACGGGGAATCAATAAATAAATCAGAAATGATTGTATTATTGTATTAACATTATATCAACATTATTGACTTCAAATAAATTATTATCTTGCAAGACTTGGACATGATTTCACTGCGAAAATGAAAATTTAGTTGGTTTTTTTTCCACAAGATTTTTAGGAATTCTCTATTATTAAAAAAATTAATATATAGGAAACCTATAACTGTTTCTTTCAATCAATAAACGATATTGTAAGGAAAAGGGGGAAAAAAAATATTTGAGATTTTAGTTGTTAACAAGGGTAGTTAGCAGAGATTAAATTAGTTATTATCTGTTATTGAATGATGCGTTCAAGAACAATTCTTCAATTTAACGATTTTTAACAAATTTTTTTTGGCATAGTTGGAAATTTGTTGTGCCATCTGCGCACAAAAATGATCGGTAAATTTTAAATTCACGCTTTATGCTCTTAGGGTCAAACTTTAAATCTGTAGCTATTCTTTGTGGTTTTTGCCTTACTTGTAAATGGTCTCTCATAAAGGTTAAAATTTGCCATCCTGTCACGAATGACGTTAAAAGTCGGGTGGTTTTGCTAAAAGAAAAACCAAAAAAGGTCATCCGAGGAATTTTAATATATAATTTACTGGTGAGCATTTAAGTGATATATGTCACAATTAATAATTACCCTATAAAAATTTTTTCAGAAAATGTATTAGTATGGTTTTTCCATACATTTTCCGTGCATTTTGTACGGAATTTGTACGGAATTATACATGAAAAGAGCGCTTATTTGTCTTGAAAATGTCTTGAAAATACATTCCGTACATTCTCCTATGCATTTTCCGTAAATTTGTATGGACGTTAAGCACGGAAAATGTACAGAAAATGTGTAAATAATGTGGACGGTGTTGTTGTAGCAGGAAGGTATGGGTACACTGCAACATTGATCAAGAATAAAATGTTTTTCAGCTAAACAAAAAAGACTTTATTCATATACAGAATTATCAAATAGAATGAAATAATGAAATACGCACGCTATTTTACTCATTTTAATTAAAGAAGTCACAATATCTTTCACTTAGCAACTATTTATGTTCGCACCAGGGTTTCTGTTCATGATACAAGTTTAAAAGGATATTTTTTTTGTTGATTTATTGATTCATTATTAAAAATATAATTACGAAACAAATTCGACTAGATTTAAGGTTAGAATAAAAAAAATTTTATTTATTTGACTTATTGATTCTAAAATCTAAAATTCGTAAATAAACAAAGCATATACGATTCAGATGCAAGTATTTTTTTTTTTTACTTTTTTATTTTGCCTTTTAAATCAACTATTTATTTCTTATTATTACGTTTATCAAGCACGCACGAACAATTAAATGTCCATCTTGAAAATAACCTGGCATCCGCCTAGGCTTTATTTATTCTTGGGTTTAACATTGCATAGCTGAAATTGACTTCTTTAAAAATAATTTCGGAAAACAATCTCGGATCTTTATATTAACCAAAAGGTTCGGATAATTTCCACGTTTCGGATTCGGCAACTGATCATTCATTAACAATAATATTAAAAGAAGCAATTTCGACTAACAACCAATGTACCATGAGAAAGTTATTGTCAAGTAAATTATACTCAATGAGTCATTGTTTTATTAGCATATAAAAAAATGTATCTATAGATCAAAGACTAGTAAATATGCTATTATACTTTGTTAAATATTTTACTCATAATCGATAATTGATATTAATATCATATTGCGGACAAATAAAAAAGATAACTAACGATGTGCTGTTTTTTTCTTCGGTGTCAGGTGACAGTCAGGAATCTCAATATCTATATTTTTTACTTTTATTTTTCCATCGTTGCATATTATCATCACTTTTTTGATTATCTATAATTTTCATTGTTTCAATGATTTCAAGCTATGGAAGAATAATAAAAATTAGTATCTTTGAAACGAGGAAAAGAAATCCAAGATAATAAGGTTGAATCCTACCTTAACATATATTATAGATATAACATTATTTAATATTTTGGGAAAATTTTTTATATCACGTAAACTTCACATGGCTTTTCTATCATATATCTGCATACGTATCTACCTGGACAATCAAGATTAGTTTTTATCATTACAGCACCTGTAAAAATATTGAACGTTAAGCGAGTCTAAATGAGTCTTGTCGTATAATGTGCAATCACCATACAAACCTGAATGGATAAACCCTGGAACATTTACTTGTATGGTACGGATTGTAAGTTCATGATGAGATAGTCACTAAAGTGCATAATTTATGAAGGAGGTCGTAATTCTATAATCTTATGGAGGATTTTAACAGATATTTCAATTACAACTTGATATAGAGATCAGGCAGAACTCCAGCTATTTGATGCAAACAATTTAAAGTACAAGCAAATATGAAGAGAATAGATAGTACATTCCACACTGTCTATAACGGATCATTGGGCCCAGGAATTTATCCGTTATTAGTATACTGTATTATATAATACTAATTGGTTTCAATTTAAGACAACAAATTATTGTAAAATTAAATCAGGATTGATTGTTGATGCTATGGTGTAACTAAATTCTCAGATAATGGAAATTATGCAATGGTTTTAAATTATACTCCAGAGGGAAATTTAAGAGATTATCTGAAAAAAGGTCATTTGAATTTAACATTAAAAGACAAAATTACAATCTTTCTTTATTTATGTGATGCATTAGATTCAATACATGAAAAAGATTTAATCCATTGTGATTTACATAGTGGTAATATATTATTGCAAGGAGGTAATTGTTATATTACAGATTTAGGACTGTGTGGACCAGTTGATGAAAAATCATCAAATAAAATCTATGGAATTATATCATATGTTGCACCTGAGCTACTTAGAGGCAAAATTAATACAAAGAACACAAAAGAAACAGATATTTATAGTGTTGGGATGTTAATGTGGGAAATATTTGCAGGCCATCCACCATTTGATGATAGAGGTCATAATCATCGTTTAATTTTTGATATATGTGAAGGTTTACGACCACCAATATTACCTGGGATGCCTGATGACTATGTACAAATGATGCAGAAATGTTGGGATGTGGATCCATCTAAAAGACCAACTAGTAGAGAACTTTGGGAATTTGCTTGCAATAAACGTAATGAAGTTTTTAAAAATATTAATGATGACAATAACAGTGTTGGTAATAGTAGTAATAATAATACTACTAGTGGTAGTAGTAGTAATTCACAACAAATACATAAATCACATCCAGATGCATATCATAAAAGTAGAATATTAGATGATGAAATTACAAAGTCAAAAAGTTTAAAAAGTAACAACAGTTCATTAAATAATCTTGATATTAATGATATTCTCTTAAACATTGATTTTAACGATGGTAAATAATTAAAAATTTCATTAATAAATTAATTTAAATTATTAATTGTTAAATTATTATTACTAACAATCTTTTTTATTCTTGTTTAATGAATTAATAAATATTAGATTCTAGTAATAATGATAATAATAATAATAAGGGAAAAGATGTTGAAACATCAATGAATGATTAATTTAATCTTCACTACAAATTTATTTATGTAAATTATATATTACTTTCTTAAAACTTTATAATTAATAAAAATTTTTTTTACAATTTTTAATTCTTGTTCCAGAGCAGAGAAATACGAGATTTTTCTTCACATTTAAACCAATCTATTTATAAATAAAACTTATTAAATATAAAGATTGAAAATTATTTTCACTCAAAACCAAAATTAAGAAATAAAATAATATAAAAAAATGTATGAAGAGTATAAAAAAAAAAATAGTTAAATCATCATGCCTTCCGTTTTTTTGACCACTGAAAATGTGATAAGTGGTCTGTCCCAACCATTTCAGAGAGGTTCAGTACAAAGGGGTTTTAATAATTATAATGTAACCGACTTTGGAAAAAGCCACATTGGTTTTTGTAGGTCGATATGTATACGAGAACAACATAGAGTATGTACATCATAATAGTTAGAAGTTTCGCAAAAATGCTCAAGGTAAAAACCCGAGGTGGGTTTTTCAGATTTCCCTCATTCAAACAATTACCATTGATAACAATGATAATAAACCAGAAGATATAAATAGAGTATTATGATCCCCTTTTGTTGTTCTCGGATTCAACTACGCCATATGGAGAAAAAAACTATTTCAAGGTTAAACAAAAACCTCTACAACCAAATAACAAAAATTAAAAACATAGAGACGGAGCTATTTGTAACTTAAATAAAAATAACCAATACAAAGTTTTGTTGAATATATCAAAACCTCAATCTTTTCTGTCATCAAGAAACTCAGAATTAGCACCAGCAACAATCCACCTTACTTCGAAAGATGCGGAGTAAAATGTTGTGACCGAAAAGGAAGAGAATAATAGCAACAGCTTTGATAATAAAACCAATAAAAGTGAAAAATCGTCACCTTTTTCTTCGTCTTCATCCTTGCTATTTCGAAATCGATGATAAGAGAGCATTGAGAAAACAGTTCCCCTCCAAAACGCCTTTGCCTTGATATGACAAGACGCAAGGGTTAACCCCTACCGCACGTGACGTTGAATGTCGACGAGAACATATTTGGTGAGAGACAAGTATATGTTGCAATGAGCCGAGCTCCCTCATTAGAAAAATTACATATCTTAATTTTGACTACTCTCAGTTAAAGCAGCACTAGAAGAATATGAGAACTTAGAAATGTTGATGTTGAAGAGTTACAAAATTTAATAAGGCGGTAAAAAAAAACAAAATAAATCTGTCTTTGAAATTTGCGCTGCGACGACCAACTAAATATCAATAGATCAAAAAAAAAAATAATACCATAATGTTGCAATAGTTTACTGATTTCTTTTTCGCTACCGTAGGTGCTTCAACTAAAATATATATTACAAATTTTAACCTTTTCATAGAACTTATTAGAAATATTTGGTTCACTATACACTCCTCCTTATCAGTCTGCTAATGATGACGATACATTAGGATTTGAAAAAAAATCACTTCCTCATAATATTGATAAATCAGTAACGGTAACTATAACTAATGATAAAATTGCTTTATGATTGCAGTTATTTTTTTAACTGTCTTTCTTTCCAAATCAGTAGATTGCGTAAATCTCAAAATTATTCGATTGAACGATCCGAGGAAGAATTATTTGTATCATTAGTGTTTTAAGTTAGAGAGCTCTTTTATATCTTATTCCGTTTTGTTTTCAGAACATTAAGCCACATTTTTGTTCTTGAAGAGTGCAATAATCAAGGACTAAAACAGTGTGTGGATGATGTCATATAGTCAAAGATAGTTGATAAATTTCGTTCAAGTTTTGAATTTGTAGATGTTAGTAAACCTATACGGAAAATTTGGAAAATATAATGAAAGTAATTTAAATATTTCAGAATGACATGTGATTTTGATTTTTTATTATATTCGTTTAATTCGTTTAATTCGTTTTATTTTTACTCAAATTGTTTGTTTTATTTGAGTAAACCTTATTTGAATAGAAACCTAACTACTACTCAAGATTATGATATTATTTTAGTACAAAGAACTTTAGAAACGTTTAACCAATAATTTAATTACAATATAAAAGAGCTATTGGTTTATTAAATTAATTAAAAATAGGATTAGTAATAATACCAAGGACATGCATGAATAAAACTTTTAATAATGAATGTCTACCCAGATCTTTGGGGTTCACAAAATAAATTATTTTTCTTGATTATCAATTATGGTCCCTTATGAATAATAAATCCGATGTTGATTGTAGGTGTCAGATTTAATTAAAATTTTCCTATCACAAACATGCAAATTAGTGCTTTCACACACCCTCATGATTGTGAAATTTTTCCCACAGGTGAAGGCCATCCATATGTTAGAAGGTTTTGGACAAAATGTTCATTATCTTCCTCTCAGACCAGACTGGCTGTTGCCATATGGGCATTGATCACTGATAGCTAGCATTTGTGTGATGGTTGCTTTGTGTTATTCCAATCTGTAGCATAAAGTTGATGTCTGTGGCTAATTGAAAATTCTCCAACTCAGGAGGTTGCAATCTGGGTTGCTGTTTTGGATTCAGAGTTTTGAGTCCTGGGTTGCTATCTTGTTGGTGGCATGCATACTCACCAACAACCCTACATCATTTATTTAAATAACAAATTCAGTTGGTCGAATAAAGATTAAGAGAAACAGAAAATTTATGGGAATGATTAATTTATAACATACCAAACAAAATCAAAACCATTTTCTAACTTTTTCCTTGTTGGCCATATTGCTGACAAAGATATATATAATCATGCAATAATTTTAATCTACAGGACAAAGGAGTGATTGGGTAAAAACCCCTACCCAAAATTATAAATTGGTTAGTATCAAAGAAACAGAGGATTTAGGAAAATGATTATACAAAACAAACACTACTTTACAACTTTCCTCTAACATCAGAGTCCAAATGCAATTTCAGGGCCACCAACCCTGCTCTGAATCGCAACCTCATGTGCTTGAAACGAGTTGCAGATTCTCTTAATATTCCTCCAGAGTTGCAACATCTTGGTCATAGAACCATCTTTGCCCTAGAGGTGGGATCGTTGCAGATGACTTTTCGGCTAGCATGCCAGCGGCCATCTCTGGTCTAGGCGCTGTGAGGGAAGATTAGTGAAAGTGTCATTGACGATTGATGCAATCTCGGTAAACTCCAGTGCCATGTTACCCCCCTCCGGAATTCGGTTGCATCATTGTATCATCGGGGTAATCTTGGTCAGATTAGCCTTTGCATGTGAGGAAGATGAGAATGACTGTAAAGTGTTCAAGGTAGCGTGCGTGCTTTAACTTCCGATAATCAAACATCACATTGAATTGTTTTATGTTTGAATTGTTTCATATTGAATTGTTTCTTCTACAACAGTCAGTCATGCCGCCTTGACATCTTGTAATTATAATATTTATAAGAATATTATATTGATTATGAAAATTAAAATATTTATCAATGAAAATCTTGTAATTACCCAGCAAGATCCACTCCACGTTTTGATTCCAATTAAAATATTTATAAACTAAAATAAAAATATCAATCAATACAAATAAAAATAGTACCTCTGGTTAGTTATTAACACGTCTTCTTTAGGAGGACCAACCAACAACTCTCACGTTGGACTCTGTCAAAAAATAAATTTGTTTCCCAAGAAAAAAAAAAAATCAATTCGCGTCAACAAAAAAAAACCTGTGCAACACCAAGTGCCAATAATAAATAATAATTATTTTACACGTTTTTTTTTTTTTTCCAAATTAAAAAAAAAAATAATGTCTGTCGTTAACAAGCAAAAAAGAAAAAGAAACGAGAAACAAATTGCCGACATCGCTGGGTAAGTGTTTTAAGAATGATGGCGGTGGTTATCGTCACTCGCCGTCACTCTAGTTTATATATAAAGATTGGTGGTTATTGCGATCGTTGCCACGCGTCATCACTCTAATTAATTATAAATTCAAACACCTGAACTTAAACTTGTCATTTTACTAATTAAAACTTCAACTTTTTTAATAATTGATGTATATGGACCAAATATATCACTTATAGCTGTCATATTATTATTACTATCTTCTTCATCTTCACTATCACCACCTTCCAGAATAACGAAATCATTTAAATAACCCTTTTTTTCATCCATTTTGGATTTTTTTCAGAAAAGAAAATTTTATCTTTTTTAAATCTAGATTTGTTACACAACAATCAGTCAAACCTCTCAACGAATTATCACATTACATAAATTTGTTGAAACGCGGTTAGTAATCTTGGTATAACGAATTTTAAATGCATATAGATTCATTGAAACGAGATCTGAATGTACTAAATTGTCGTCGAATTATCAAAATTATGTGTATTGTTATAACAAGGTAGTAATGGTAGTAATAGGAAAAAATAACTTTTGCAGAGAAAAGTAATTTCTTTGTTAAAAATTATTCTTGTTACACAAATTCACCAACAAATATTTTTTTTTTATCACCAAAATTTCCACCATTTGTTTCTACTACTCCAAATAATTTCTATTCTTGATTTTCATCAGCTTCCTCTAATCTCTGTTTAACTTTTTTCAGTATCTGATTAAAGTTTGATGATTTGATTATCTCTTTGAAAATAACATAATCTGAGAGTCTGGTTTTATTTTATTGTCTTTGATCAACCATTATTATTCCATCATGATGCGAGATTAATAATTGGTAATTCAAGATATTTGAAGAAATTAGATCAATTATGATATGGTTTTTGTTGATGAACAAACTAGTTCTCAAATCAATTTTCCAAGCTGCTAATGCATATCATTGTGATTCAATTTCTAATCCATTAAAATTTGGGATTAAGCCAATCAAATTTATCAACCAAGTTTTTTGTTCTTCCTTTAATTTATTTGCAGCCTTTACAATAATAATCTCACAACAGAAAAGAATATATTACCAAATAAATCTACATCAGTTTCTTTAGCCAATTTATTTAAATATAATATTCTGCCACTAATACATTCACTCACAATCTTCCCCAATACTTCATCACATTTATTTTATCTTTTCTTTATCTTTCAGGAATTCTATTGCCTCATCCAACCTGTAATGCAATTTAAATTTTAATCTTCATTAAGAAAAAAAAAGGATAATCAAAATAAAGGTAGATTTACTTCAAGATTAACATTATTGTTGTTGTTATTCTGTAACAGGAATGCAATAATACAAAGATTAATTTCTAAAATGAATATGAACCAACTAATCAATAA